CCCGAATGAATCGGATCAGTCCTCACACCACGTAGTAGGACCCATACAATCGGCTAGAACTAAGTGCTTATCAAGAGTTGCGATGGTCAGTGACACCTTCAAGTTCCACTTTAATTCCTAGCTTTCATTCAGCGAATGTAGCAGATACTGTGGGGACATGTCAGGAGGGAATAAACATATCGTAGGCTCTGGACAACAAATTTAAGGGAGCCTCCCAGTGCTAATTCCTTTCGCACAAGTAACCTGGCTAACTTCCCGCGAGCCGAGTTTTCAGTTCAACGAACTAACCCAAAGATTGAGTCGCTGAAGGGTGCTGCAACCATTTTGGGTAATACGACGATCATGTCGTTTCTCGCCAGAAATGAGATCTTTTCACTGATGGCAGAGCTCGCTTCAGTAGACAGGGTATACGACTAATTAATCTGATGCAAATGTCAACAATTCAAACCACTTACGCAAACAAGCTGGTGAATTTTTTTCATGTCAGATTCTACGTCAGTCAAGAGTAACCTTATGGGCACCTGGTACATCGATAAATCGTGATAATTCCAGGGACTTATTCACCCAGCGAATAACAGGTGAATCTTCAGAAGATAATGCAGACTTCCTTCAATGGTCATCATTTCGACCTGGACGGGTGGCGAGGAACGGAGTCCTTAGAAGTGCGGAACCAGAAGCAGTTAGGTCGTCTTAAGTTAACCTTCTGTGAGTTTCAAATGCAACCTAGATTCCAGGCACGCGTTTGTACGTTGTTACAGGTAAGTATGTGTTCCTCTCGTTACTGTTAAAAATTATGCTCTGTTGAGTCCTTCCCAATAGCAGACGTGCTTGACGATCCTGCAGATACAGTCTGGATTATCGAATCGAGGTAGTGGGCACCGCTCCTGTATCATGAATGCTGATAACATATTCCGAGCGGAACGGAGAAAAAGACACGAACCACTTTTGATGTGTGAGCACATCGCAGCCGATTTCCTTCTCTTTACGTTGCACAAGTTCCACGTAAGCAAGCATACCGTCATCCTTGTACCGCGCCGCGAGCTCAGCTAAGGGGCATTCAGCCAAATTACAGTTCTTTAACATTCAGCGGGGAATGTACCAGTAGCAGCAGCATTACTGTGGAGCCCAGCTAGGGAGATTAGCTGCAAAACAAATCTGGGTTCGTCAATGAGGTGGTTGCTCTCACAGCAAAACGCCACACGCCGCACCCTTCTTTCCCAAGTTCCCAGATAAAATTCTTGAGATCTGAATCTGCACAAGTCGTTCGTGCTGTCAGCCAAAGAACGGTATTTAGTCAGGTGTGACGTACCACTGAAACCAGCCTTCGCCCAGTTGAAGCTGGGGCTGAGGTTGTATACAAACCATTTACCCGGGTACTTCTTCCTGATCCTTCTCGCGAAGCTCCTGGCTTCCGCTAAGTCTGGCTTCCCCGTCTCGAGCCACAGCAGGTCTGCGTATGGTGCATACGCAAGGGCGCGGTCAACAGCTACCTGCAGGCCACCAGTAGTCCGATAAAAGCCTTCGGGTGTGCGCGGTACTGCCAAAAAAATGGGTGAAGACCTAAAGACATTAGCAATCTACTCACGGTCCCAGTCCCAGTGAATGTCATGGCCAACAGCCTCCCGAGCAATCTGACGGGCTTCGAAGTTTGATTTGCCGACTACTGCATTCTTGTACTGCTCAAACACGCCTGGTGGGTTTGAAATAGTACTAGACAGCAACGCCTCTTCGACAGCTATGCCGCACACTCAACATGGTGGAACAAATAAATAAACAAAGACGTGCCTTGATCAAAAGTGATTAATTTGTTCATGGAATCCCACTCTTTCTCAATTCTGGCTGCATCTGCACCGCTTGTGGCCCGCGCGAGAGCTTCACTGAGAGGCTTTCCTTGAGTCGTAGTACCGAGGATATATCTAAGAGACCATCTCAGACAAACATCAAGTCCTAAATTAGGACTCACGGGTGATCAAGAGGGTCAACACTGGTGGAAAGAAGTTTCCCACTTTCAGCATCAGTGCGCGCAATGAGCAACATCGGAGATAGAAGCATGTCAAGCTGGAAGCGGGCTGCGACGAGACGCGAGACATGTGTGCTTGGCGGTACCAAAACCTTCCCTGCGAGGTGTCCACACTTCTTTCCGCCGTGAAGTTGATCCTCGAGATGTATAGCTGAGGCACCTGACTCAGCAAAGAGCTTGGTGAGTTTCATGACAGCAGAGGTTCCTCCATGGCTAACACGTTGTGAATTAAACGCGAAGACTGAGTGGAGTGCGGTCTTTACCCAGTATCACCGTCCGCAATAATGGGGCGTAAATAATCGACATACGGCATTGCTGCGCGTTGTTCAGGCGATGCGGACATACGTTCATCATAATGCTTCCGGTCATGAAGTTGCTGTGCACGGAAGAGACGGTGAACCTGGTTTGGAACAGTTGTATAAGGGTAATCTCTGAGATAATGTATATGAGAACAGGGCGATCATTACACATGATTCGGCACAGCGTTTACCCAAAATCAGGACCAACTTCGTTGTTGCCCGTAGTCAACAGTGAGCTTGCAGCCCAACCAGAGACATACACAACTTGCTGATGCCTAGCCATTTGGGTCATCTGTACTGGGTCAATGGCACCCATGGTAGGTACTGGTTGGCTGTTAGCAGCGGCCTCGGTGAACAAGGCGAAGAGCTTGTTTGCAAGAAGTGTCGATGGAAGGGGAAGAACGGGCGCGGAACCCTGCTTGAGTGCTACATCACGAGCTGTATATGGACGGGTGATAGAAGCGAAGCGAGGGGAGGAATAGAAAGAGGAGAGGTCCCGAACGCGAGCGTCAAAGGTAGCGCTCTGTTCAGCTAATGATGGCGGGTGCACCGGCAGGGTAGGAACAGAAGACATCGAACGCGCCAAAGTCCACAGCTTCATTCCGCCTGTTGACGGGCGAAAGAGAATCATTGCATGAGATGGTGGTGCGCTCGATGGGAAGTGGGAACACACCCCAGGGAACATTGGGTTCGGGAGGATAACCGAAACCTAGATTGAGGTTAGGGTTACAAATGGGTGTCCACCAAGGAGGTTATTCTCGAACTTCATCACTTTTCTGAAAGGAACTTCTATCACTTCCAATCTACCATGACAGAAGCTGTATTCACTGAACATTCGCGCACCTAGGCTGTGGAGTGCCCAAGAAGTGCTTTCTGATGGAATCTCCTCCAAGCCAATTGAATTTGCGGTGGAGTTGAGGCCCCATCATCAATCAAAGGACGTCCATAGCCCATAGAGACAGCCTGACAGAGAAGCGACCACTTGAAGCTCTTGCTGATCATTACATCTTTCAATTCTTTCGTTCAAAGTGGTTCCTCCTTGCTCTCCCTCGGATTGGTACATTAAATGTCAAGTCAAAACGCCGTCTGGTGCGGTGGGAAGTTGGCATGCAGCTGTCAGTCTCGAAGGAGTGATGCTTTCTCGTCTCCGTCAAATTCAAATCACCATCACCTCATGTCCCTATCCTCGAGGCTTTATATCCGCACACTGAACGCCTCAAGAACTCTTTGCACTCTGCTGTTTCTCTTTATTCACTCTCACGGGACTTACTTCTATGGAGTCACTCTCCAGTTGTTCGCGAGTCACACGACTGGCACTTATACATGCAGTCCTTGCATATATCTCTCCTGAGTTCACAGAGATGTCGCGTCTACCCCTCGCATTGCCCACAGAGATCCGCCTTCGCATTCTCACCCATTTGCATCTCACACTTTCGGTCTCCTTGCTTGAAAGCCTCAGCCACGACTTGCACAATGCCCTAGATGACCTTTGTGATCGCTGCAGAGCCTATAACTTTCACGTATACGGTGAAAGCGTGTCAGAATGGCCCGAGATCAAGGTCACTGGGGGTTGTTCGTGTGCCAAGATCGGAGTGCACCTGCGCCCAGTGATCACCCATGATAATCGCTGGGACTCCGAGGCATCCGTCGATGTCAAATTTCGCTCGCCAATGGTTGACTCCGATCCTCCACCATACTTCGCTTTCCACTTGCGTCACATTGCCGTAACGTACCTGTCAAATACCTCAGCCTCACCTTATACGCGTGAACTGGAGGAACTGGTAACGCCACGTGCGGGTGCCAAGGAGATTGACGCCTTAGTCTCCAGAGTCCTGCAGCTCTTTCATTGCTGTGTAGAGAGCCCTCTTTCGAAATTAGGAGCATGGAATCTGGGAGACGAGCTTTGCGTCGTTACTATCTCTTCACATCCCTCTGATGATGAGATACTATGCGCGCTCCAGCTAGCCCTCGAGCTTGATAATCACCGCGGTTTCATATCGGAGTCAACGCTACATCCTCGGAGTCTGAAGTTCGCACCCGCTTTAATAATTCAACCCTCTACTAGTAAGGGCGCCATTCATTCGCCCATTTGTTATCATGCTGATTGATGTCTAGATCAAAGATCGTTGCTTTCAAACACAAGGCCTAGAAACATCCAGCTCATGTGCAGTGTCGGCTTAGCCTGTTTGCTATATGGCATTAGGTATCTACCTGTATGGTCGTAACCTAAGCTTCGTAAAGTTCGTATGCTCGCATATTCCCATTTTCCACCCATGCTTTCGCATTCGGCTCTCCAGGCACATGATATTAATATCTCGTCTGCTCTGGAGAAGCTGGGAGATCATTTCGCTATTGTCTGATGAGTCTTGCAACTCCCATACATTCACACCATTCCAGTTTCCCAGTCTCACTGTATTCCTCTTCAATCGGCGTGACTGCCGCTCTCTGTACGCACTTTTATCAGCATATAGACCAATAGACGTCGATGTAGTCTCCACTAGGCAGACCTAGACGGTCCTTCCTTATTACGCGTCTGGACAATAATACATTTATTAGTGAACGTGCCTATTTCAAATTTTGTCGGTCACTGCGGTGGGTAATAATACACCCCATTGGATAAAGAAATACATTTGTACAATATCAATCGGACAAGATTCTAACTACATGCGGGCAAAAAAAGTTGGACGCTCAGGGGATTGAACCCTGGACCTTATACAATTCGGATGCTAATGCAAAGCATACGCGCTACCACTGCGCTAAGCGCCCCT